ACTCTAGCCTCTCTGCCAAAAGAAGGGTGACCCCTGAGGCTGCCACAAGGGAACCAGAAACCTCATTGGCCATTGTATCTTTGTCCTGAGTTTTATCATATTTAGGGAATGAAGGGAATAAACAGTATTTTTCCAATGACCATGCAGTGTCTAGATATCAGAATCCTTACTAGTCAAAGGCAGTTGATATTTCTAGGTGCATAATGTCAATCCTTGTTGACTTTAGTAATGTGAATTTGGAAAATTTTGGAAATTAGTTGTTTGAAAGCCCTTTTTATTACATTATCAATATGACTGAAAGCTCTTGGACCAAGGAAGACAAATGAGGTCCCACAGCTTGTCCAGTGAGGACTATGTAATCAGTGCTGAGTGACAGATTCTGGTTACATACACATTGTCATTTCACAAGTTTTACTTACAAGGGATAGTCCTTGGAACAATAGGAAGTGCATCTTTTGTTCCTCAAAGTTAAAATGGATATGATAATACTGGTTTATTAGGGCAATGGTAATTTACATACAACCTGTACGTAAACATTTTAGCATACTAATATGCCCACCTAATATGTGTAAATTATAAATATTTCACATTACTAAATATTCACATTACTAAAGTCAACAAGGATTGACATTATGCACCTAGAAATATCAACTGCCTTTGATTAGTAAGGATTCTGACAACTTTACCATAAGCCTGATACAAATTATAAGCTCTTCTATTCCAATTCAGAGGGATCCTCACCTTTCTAAGAGAAAATGTCCTATGTGTCGGTGGATGTATTTCCCATTAAGTTGTCATTCACGCCAGTTGTTGACATCTGACTGGACATGATATAAAGATGTAAATTCTTCAAATGTAGAGACTGAGTTTTCCTTTTTACTATAATGCACTGAGTGCTGACTCCACAGAAGGAAATATTGTTTTTTTTATGAGGGTGACGTGTATGAGTGGATCAAATTTCAAGCATCAACAAGTGTGAGCAATAAACAGGAATCGTTAAAAATTAACAGAAATCACTATAATCTTGTAATACAGAAATCACTATAATCTTGTGGTTAATTCAAGGCTTCCTGCATTTCCCTGATTCCTTCATTCTCAGGAGACATGAGCAGCATGAGGCAGGAGAACCAGAGCAGCGTGTCCGAGTTCCTCCTTCTGGGGCTCCCCATCCGTCCCGAGCAGCGGGGTGTCTTCTTCGCCCTGTTCCTGGCCATGTACCTGACCACGGTGCTGGGGAACCTGCTCATCATCCTGCTCATCAGGCTGGACTCGCGCCTCCACACCCCCATGTACTTCTTCCTCAGCCACTTGGCCTTTGCTGACGTCTCCTTCTCATCTGTCACTGTCCCGAAGATGCTGTGGAACATGCAGACGAATCACAAGTCCATCCCCTATGCAGGGTGCATTTCACAGATGTACTTTTTCATATTGCTTGTTTGTCTTGACAATTTCCTTCTGGCAGTGATGGCCTATGACAGGTACGTGGCCATCTGTCAGCCCCTGCACTACACCACCATCATGAGGCCAGAGCTCTGTGTCTCCTTAGTCGCTGGGTCCTGGTTGTTCTGTTCCCTCCACTCTCTGTTGCACACCCTGCTCCTGGCCCGACTGTCTTTCTGTGGTGATAATACCATCCCCCACTTATTCTGTGACCTCACCACACTCCTGAATTTGAGCTGCTCAGACATCTCCCTCAATGAGTTGGTCATCTTCGTTGAGGGAGGAATTCTTGTCATCCTGCCTTTGAGTGGTATCTTGGGCTCCTATATCCGGATTTGGACCACCGTCCTGAGAGACCCCTCTGCTAAGAAATTTTTCAAAGTCCTATCTACCTGTGGCTCCCACCTCCTTGTTGTGGCTTTATACTATGGGACTATTGCAGAAGTTTACTTTTTCTCCTCATCATCAACGTCCAATAATAAAAAAATAATTGCCTCTGTGATGTACATGGTCGTCACCCCCATGCTGAACCCCTTCATCTACAGCCTGAGAAACAGAGACATGAAACGTGCCCTGGAAACCCTTGTGAACCGGGCTAAGTTCCTTATGTCAAAAGATTCAATCTGAATGTGGTAGCGACATACGTTCAAATGAACAAGGAAATTGTTAAGAGTTCGACTGACATTTGAATCTGGGCTGTCTGTAGAGCACAGGCAAGTTGGCCTTTTCCATGATTCTCTCTGCTGATACATACAAATTTTGTGACTAGACTGACTTTCAATACTGTTCCTGTTCTTCTTAGGGAAAAGCAGAGATATATTTATCAAATATATTCAATAAACAAATAGTAGTAATTTATAACTTTTGGCCATTGACTGAAAATTATTCTGTGATGACTGTGTTCAACTTGATTTCTTTATTTTTTTTTTAAATCCATTCATTGATCACTTGTAGAACTGATCATTTGACTAATTACCAAATCAGCCTGGCTCTGTGTGAATAAAAATAGGACAGAAACATGAACTAAGGAAATTCCCTGGTCTCTATGAGCTCTGTGTCCCTAACCCAAGAGTTAAAAGATGGAGAACGAAAACCACCTGTGGACAAGTATGTGTCTCGGAGACAGCAGGCAACCTTCTGTCTGGACTCGAAAAGCTGCATTTCAGAGTTTGAGGCCCAGGGGGCGCCCTGTGTGCAGTCCTGTGTGACCCCAAGTGAGTGGGGTGCGGTTAGTGGCACAGCCTCCCTCCTAGAGGTGCCTTTCTTGGGGGACCTAGGAAAGCAATGTGTCCCCATTGTACGGCGCATCACATGCTAAAAAAAGTGGGTGTGCACTGATGTAGGCAAGCTGTGTAGGGGGAAACCTTGAGAAGGGAAGGGTCCTGCACAAATCAAATGGCCACTTTCCTAAGAGTCCAGAGGAGCACAGAGCCATCCAGCCTGGGGTGTCACTTTACATGTTTACCTGGGGGTACATGTGCTGGCTGAGGCTGGGCTGTTCTGTGGGGCTAGCTGAGGTCTTTTTCCTGGAGAAGTAGGTCTTGATTAAAATTTCAGAATGTATTGACTGGTTGAGTCATTCAAAAGCCATCCATACTATAACATCAGGATATTAAAGATTATAGATTCGATTATCTGCTGGAACATACAAGGATAATGACAACAGGAGTTGACATGTACTGTGCATTGGATGCTTTAGCAGGAATGGCTTCAAACAGTCTTATAACATGAGTATCAATACCACTAGGATCTACATTATAACAGGTGATACAGGCTGAGGGAAGTTACTTTACTTATCTAGGGTCAACAATGGGTGCTTGGAAAGCCCAGAATGCCTCCATTGGCATTGGGAGGACAATCATGCCAGCTGCTACCTGGTTGGCATAACAGGCAGAGAGGAGTCCAAGGTCCCCTGGGGTACTTGGGGCACCCTCTCAGGTGACTCCACCAGCTCAGTCCCTCCAGCCTCCAGGCAGGCTCCTCTCCAACAATTTTCAGGAACTGGGGATAATTAAGCGAGCTGAGGGACCTTGTCCTTATTCTCTCAGTGACTTATAAAGTGGTTTATGAAGTCCTCCTGGCTGTTCTCTGGCATTAGGGACAGACACAGCCATCTCAGGAGGTGATGGACTCACAGAGGATGCCTTCTTACTATTTGTTGCTGGTCCTCCCAGCAGAAGCTGAGGGCTCAGATACCGATTAGAAGGTGCTGATGTAACAAGGAATGACACAGGCTGGTGTGGGAGGGACATTCTGGGTGAGGAAAGTTGTGTCCTGTGCTCAGAGGTCAGATGTGCACTCCAGGTGGGTCTGTGGGTGACGGGGTAGATGGATGTTTCTGTGTGTGTGACTGCTGTGCTTTTATGAGAGAGACAGAAGGGGAGAGAGAAGACAGAAGTGAAGTGAAGAGATGAGAAAATGGTACAATAAAGGGAAAGAGGGGAAAGGTAATATAGACACAGATAGGAAGAACTGGAGAGAGACAAATGACACAACCTAAGCTCAAGCACCAACTGGATCCCCACTTAGGCAAGTGGGGTCCACTGCTGAGTGGGATATACAATCTCTCAGTCACTCCTTTGTCCTCAAACATCTGCTCTCCCTCCTGCATAAGTAGCTCATCTCTGGCTACTTATCACAGGTAAGTAAAGAGATTGTAGAGTGTAAAGAACAAACACATGCTCCCCCCTCTGGAGCAGGGGCTCCTGCATTTATCCACGAGTGCAGGGGAGGGAGGATCTGAAGTTGTACAGAGTCAAGTGGTAGGTGTGATCTTGTATTTTGTTCTGATTACATATGCATGTCACTCCAAGGTTTTGTGTGCGAGTGTGTTGATGTTTATATACAGGTGGTGTTTCTGTGGGGTACTGTCCACTGCATGGGCCCCAAGTGACTCACTACTGACTTAGTGGACATCCACAGAGGTCATGATCTGCATTGAGAGGAAGGGTCACTCAGGTCTCCCCCACTGGGCAGGTGTCACATACTAACAGATGGGACCGCAGTGCCTGCCTCAGATCCCCGTCTGGCCCTACATGTTTGCTCTCTGACATTCAGATTCCCCCCCCCCCGGGAAAGGTGGGGTAACTATCTCCCCATAGTGCTGTCTTGAGGACTGAATGAGGCAGAGCACAGGGACTGTCCAGTGCTACACCTGGCTCATGATTGATGCTCAGTAAAGGGGATTCTTATACTTCCAGAAACCAAAGTTTGTGTCATAAAGGATTCTCCTCCATCACTCTCCAGGGCACCATAGGTAGACATGCAATAAAGGGGCCCCTGCACACCGCTCACAAGCCTGAGCTCATGGCCTGATCTGCTGTTTCCTGTTTGCCAGTGAGGCAATGCAGTACAGGTCAGTGGGCAGCCAGGCCCCAGGTGGGGGTCCAGACACTGTCCTCTTGGCCATGAACCAAGATAGACCAAGCCCTCATCAAGGTCATGGTGCTGAGGAGGCCTGGCTGTCTGTTCTGCTGCTTGAGTGAGTCAGTGCTGGACCCATTTCCATGTGCCTGTGTTGTCTAATTCTAACCTCCAACTTCACAGCCAAAGGAAGTGTAAGTCTGGAATCTACCATCAGAGAACTAAGCAACGTTAGTGGTCATTACCTATTTTCCTCAAGCTATATCACATCTATGAGATGTAGGGAATTTCCCTAAAGTTCCATGCAATCTCTAGATATATAATTTTTTAAATTAATGTTGTATTAAAGCCCTTTGTAAACTGTGTGATGTATAAATATGATTGATAATTCTTATTCAGTGAAATGTTACCAGATGAGGTCAATATGTGTCTGTTTGATAACCCAGATATGTCTCTCTGCTAACGAGGGCCACAACATCCATGCAGACTGTTGGGTTCTGGTCAGATCAATACTGTTACTCACTACTTATTGTGGTAGAACGTCACACCTTTACAAAATGTTTTCCTCACAGCTAAAATAGGAGCAATACCGGTTAAGACTATGGGGAAGATGTAAATGCAAAGTAGATGTAAACCCTCTGGCAATCTGCCTGACATATTATAAGAATTGATAACTATTCCCCGTAAGTATTCACCTTTATTGGGGAACTTGGATTGACTTTAGATGGCCAGCAATATTAAATTTCTCTGATCAGTAAGTATTCTGCCAATGTTGCTGTAAGCCTGCACCAAACATTAGTTATTCTATGCCAATTTAGAGAGTTTCTCAACAATGAAGAGGACATTAGTGCTGAATGCCTCCTGCTGCTATCCATAGATGTTTATGGCATGCCCACTACTCACATCTGACCTGGTGTGACAGAGATGTAAATGTCTTAAGTGTGGAGACTGCATTTCCTATTTGCTATAATTCACTCAGTGCTGTTTGGGGGTGGGGGGCTCAGACAAGGCTGTTGAAGAAATGCCCTCTGGTTCCAAGGAAGGATATCTTGTAGGATATTGTGAGGGTGTCATGTACCACTGAAGCCAGCTATGACAGAATGTGATTCATGCATCACAGGTGTGAGCAATCAATAAAAGTCTAGTTAAAGATTAATAACTTCAATGGAAATGGACTACTCTGATGTTTTGGTTAATTCTGGGCTTCCTGTGTTTTTAGTAGAGACATGAGCAGCATGAGGTGGGAGAACCAGAGCAGCATGTCCGAGTTCCTCCTCCTGGGGCTCCCCATCCGTCCCGAGCAGCGGGGTGTCTTCTTTGCCCTGTTCCTGGCCATGTACCTGACCACGGTGCTGGGGAACCTGCTCATCATCCTGCTCATCAGGTTGGACTCGCGCCTCCACACCCCCATGTACTTCTTCCTTCACTATTTGGCCTTCAATGATGTGTGTCTCTCATCTGTCACTGTCCCGAAGATGTTGATGAACATGCAGGCTAATCACAAGTCCATCCCCTATACAGCATGTATTTCCCAGACATATTTTTTCATATTTCTTGGCTGTCTTGACAATTTCCTTCTGGCAGTGATGGCCTATGACAGGTACGTGGCCATCTGTCAGCCCCTGCACTACATCACCATCATGAGGCCAGAGCTGTGTGTCTCCTTAGTCGCTGGGTCCTGGCTCTTCTGCTCCCTCCACTCTCTGCTGCACACCCTGCTCTTGGCTCAATTGTCCTTCTGTGCTGACAATACCATCCCCCACTTCTTCTGTGATCTCTCTGCACTCCTGAATTTGAGCTGCTCAGACGTCTCCCTCAATGAGTTGGTCATCTTCATTGAAGGGGGATTTCTCTTCATCCTGCCATTGAGTGGCATCTTGGGCTCCTATATCCGGATTTGGACCACTGTCCTGAGAGACCCCTCTGCTAAGAAATTCTTCAAAGTTCTTTCTACCTGTGGCTCCCACCTCCTTGTGGTATCTTTATACTATGGGACCATTGCAGAAGTTTACTTTTTCTCCTCATCTTCCACCTCCAGTGATGAAATTATTATTGCCTCTGTGATGTATATAATAGTCACCCCCATGCTGAACCCCTTCATCTACTGTCTGAGAAACAGAGACATGAAACATGCCGTGGAAACACTTCTTAACCGGGCTAAGTTATTTAAACAAACAAATTAATCTGAATATGTTAGCAATAACTCATTCAATGCACAGGGAAACTATTTCACCTTGACGGACAATTTGAGTGTCAGGTTGAAG